ACAAGTTTTATTATTGTGGAAGTGATGGGAAGCGAAATGGAGTAGGAGTTGTGTTAGATAGTGGAATGAAAGAACGAGTGACAGATGTGAAAAGAGTAAATGACAGAATGATAGTTGTTAAATTAATGATTGAAAACAAAGTAGTGAATGTTGTAAGTGTGTATGCTCCGCAAACAGGCTGTGAAGAGAGTGTGAAAGAGAAGTTTTGGGAGGAATTTGACTGTATGATGATGGGAATACCTGAGCGTGAGGATGTTTATATGGGAGGAGATTTTAATGGACATGTAGGGAGAGTGAATGACGGGTATGAAAGAGTACACGGTGGATGGGGGTACGGAGTGCGGAACCGTGAGGGGGAAGTTCTTCTGCAAGCAGCATGTGCTTTCGACCTGGCTGTAGTAAACACGTGGTTCCAAAAACGAGATCAGCATCTTGTTACTTATAAAAGTGGCCACCACGCGACACAGATCGACTATCTTCTGATAAGACGGAACCAAATCAAGAGTGTAAAAAACTGCAAAGTGCTTCCAGGTGAAGACTTAGTATCCCAGCACCGAATTCTGCTGGCTGACATCTGCTTAACTGTTCGCCTCAACAAACATAAGGATCGTCCCCCACCCAAAATAAAGTGGCATTTGTTGCATAAGGAGGGGTATGCAAGTGAATTTAGAGAGCTAGTTGTAAACAAGATGATAGAGATGGGTGATATGGAAGGAATGAGTGTGAATGAGTGCTGGAAGGAAATGGCTGATTGTATCCGAAGTGTGGCAAGGAAGGTGTTAGGAGAAACAAAAGGGAAGCGTATGATAGATAAGGATGGGTGGTGGTGGAGTGAAAGTATTAGAGAAGTTTTGAGAGAAAAGAAAAATGCCTTTAAAGAATGGCAGAGCGTAGAAGACCAGAATGAATCCATAAAAGAAAGTAAGAGAGGGGCGTATAAAGAATGTAAGAAGAGAGCGAAGAAGGAAGTTGCTATTTGTAGGGCAGAGGCGCACGATAAATTATATCGGTCCCTTGAAAGCCCCGAAGGTCAAAAACGACTTTTTCAAATTGCAAGAGCGAGAGAAAGGAATGGAAGAGATGTTTCACATGTAAAATGTATAAAAGATGATTCTGGAAAGATTTTGACTGACGATGAAAGTATAAAGAAGCGATGGAAGGAGTATTTTGAGAAATTGATGAATGAGGAGAATGAATGGAATGGTATGCTTGAAAACCCACCAGTGAATATGGGCTTAGTGAGAGAAATTAGTGTGGAAGAAGTAAAAATGGCTGTTAGGAATATGAAGAATGGGAAGGCGGTCGGCCCAGATGGAATACCAGTAGAAGTGTGGAAGTTGCTGAGGGCGGATGGATGGAAGTGGTTGAGTTTATTTTTCGGTAAATTGTTGCAGGAAGAACAAATACTCAAGTATATGTAATTAACACCTGTATTTACCATGTTTGATGCAAATAAAAGTTTTGAATCTTGAATCTTGGTGAACTAGCGTCGGTGTCGTTCACTACAGCTTTCTAAAATCTGGACAAACGATTACGACAGATATCTATTGTCAGCAACTGCAAACCATGAAGGAACAACTAGCTTTTTTTTTATAGGATAGGGTGACAAGCGAGAACACAGTTCACCTGATGGTAAGTGGCCCATAGACATCTACATCTATCCTCAATGAAGACTAAAAATGCAGATGCGTTGTCACCCGTGAGGACTAAGATGGAATGCCTCTTTTCCAGTAAAAATGGTCTCCGGTTCTCTACACTCACCATACGAAACACAGCAGTTTTAAGCTGCTATTTTACGCTGGTATTCTGTGATAGCGTGGTCCTTCCTCGGTCAAACCAACCTATTCGTGCTACAACTATACTACTAATATACCTGCAGCATGGCTGTACCACGTAAAAGCTGCTAAACAACCGAGATTGGTCAATCGCTCTAGGCCACTGCTGCTTCACGGCAACGCAAGACCACACACTGCACAGCAAACAACCACTAAGTTAGGTGAGCTACAATTGGAATGTCTGCGACATCCACCGTACGCCCCGGATCTTGCTCCAACAGATTACCATTTTTTCCGAAATTTGGACAACTTCTTACAAGGAAAAAAATCTAACTCCGTTGCGGCAGTCCAAACCACCTACAAAGAGTTTATTGATTCTGGCCTTTATGGTTTTTTTTAGTAAAAGGATTAATGAAATACCTATGAGATGGCAAAAGTGCATAGATAACAACGGTGCATACTTTGATTAATTAAATATATTTTACAAAAAAAAAATTGACTTTATATTCCTGCCGTACAAAACGTCAATTTCATATGTAAGGACCTAATATAATAAATATGCCATGTCAGGCCAGTCCTATTACATTTACATCTTTTGAGAATTTGTGGAATTTATTATTATTGTAAAACATACTAATGATAAATTGAGTATTTATGGAGTTCGTTATAAAGACACTAGTAGACCAGAACTAGCATCCGTAACTCAAGTAGAATTAAAGGCTTTAGTTGGATTATTATTTTAGACATCAGAATTCCAATCTAGTCATGAGAATGCAGAGTTTATTTTTGCGACAGACGGCACAGGACGTGAGATATTCCGTTGTGTTATGTCTAAAAATAGGTGTTTAATTTTGATAAACTTTTCGAGGTTTGATAACTCTCAAACTCGATCTGAAAGGTTGACTCATGATAAACTCGCCGCTATTTCAGAAATAATTAATGCATTAATCAACAATTGCCAGCAAAATTATTCTCTAGATACGCACGTTTGCGCTGATGAAATGCTTGTAGCGTTTAGAGGACGCTGTTCTTTTAAAATTTACATGCCAAGCAAGCCCAACAAGTACGGACTGAAAATTCTTGCATTAGTTGACGCCAATACATTTTACGTGTATAATGCATACATATATCATGGCAGAGGATCCGACGCCGTAGGTTTAAGTGATGCTGAGAAACGGTTCTCTATTCCTACACAGTCTGTGATACGTCTCAGCAAAGGCTTAGAAGGCCGTAATCGCAAAATTACTGCAGACAACTGGTTTAGTTCTATAGAATTATTACAATGTTTGAAAGACTGTGGTTTGACTTACATTGGTACATTGAAGAAGAATAAAAGAGAAATTCCGCCAGAATTTCAACCCAGTAGAAATTGAGTGGTAGATTCGGCTTTGTATGGATTTACTAAAGTATATACCATGTTGTCTTATGTACCTAAAGGTCAAACGGCACTTCGGCGGCGCGGCGCGGAGAGGCGCAGCATAGCAGGGAGCGGCCAAATATTATTTCTACTAATTACTATGGTTCAAACCGCATCACAGCGGATCGCTGCGGCGTGTACCGGCGTGGCACGACAGACTTGGGCCATAAAGAATATTTTACCTCGCCGCGCCTCTGCTGCTAGCGGCGCGGCGCGGCAAAATATTGCAGTCAGTTCGCGTTCAACTACCGAGAGAGCAAGACGACGCACGATGGACGAGGAAAAATTAATTGATCTCTTGAGTGGTTATCCTGAATTGTATGACTTGGAAAATCGAAATTATATGAACCAGGTCAGGAAAAATAATATATGGAATGAGATAGGTGTATTATTGGGAGTATCTGGTAAGTAAAAACATTTTATTTTGGTAATAGGTAGTTTAATATAATATTTCGTCGAGACTCTTGCGCATTCTTTCTTACTTAAAGTACCTAACGCTAATAACACACCTTTTTCACTTGACATCATGATTAAGGTAGGTAATTTATTCTCTTTGGCGACATCCTCGCCGAATCATTTCTGTTTGCCAAGATGATCATCCCACAATAGATTTAAAGTATTCTTTTAATTTATCTCTAACTTTTAACTCTAACATTTCTAGTAAAATTACCACCAATCCGTGGAAGTTCCAGTAACTGTAATTGATCGTTGGGCCTTTTTTGTCACTAAAATGTAGTGGATCATCTCTAAGAAAATTCTGTAGGCAGCAGGTGGCGTATTGTACAATAGTAAATTCTAAATTTTTGACGTAATATTCCGAATGCGTTTTCAGATACTCTTCGAGCTTTACTATGCCTGTAGTTGTAAATTTTATTGCCTTCATCTTGCAACTGTGTTCCCGGATATGGTTTCATTAAGTAAGGTTTGCATGGGAAAGCTTCGTCACCGACTATGACATGTGGCAATTGAATACTTGTGCCTGGTAATGATTTAGGTCCTGGTATATTCAAAGTATTCGTTTCAAGTCTTTTTGCTAAAGCTGATCGGGCATATATTCCTCCGTCACAATTTTTTCCCAGTTCACCAACGTGAACTATGATAGATTTGTAATTGTCATCTACCAGTGCCTAGCATTTATACGGTAAGTAAAATTCAGGTTGTGATTAGGTATTTATTTTATTCATAGGTACCAAATAAATAATCTACCTAATAAATTCAAAATCGAAAAAGTCCTTTTGATTTTGATTTCACAATTCAGAAGTGTCCGTTAGGGTCAATTCATACGTACCACAACCACACCACAACGACGCCATGTGGTCGGGCGTATATTTTGTATTGAAAACGAATATTACAATGTACACGTACCACATTTTGCCGTTGTTATCGACCACCTGTGTAATACGACCACATCGCAACCACATCGCGACGGCAACGACACCACCGGCGGCGGCACCGCGGCCACATCGCCACAACATAACATCATCAACAGCGCGCACCTAGCTGGCGCCTACGCTCCCCCCATTCATTCTGCGTTGTACTGAGTTGTCGCGTGGTTGTGCGAAAAATTAAAATGTCCGACTCCAAGACTTTTGACACGGATATGTTTATTGAGGACATTCGCAATTTGCCATGCATTTGGGATCAAAGGACAGAGGAGTATTACAATCGCATATTAAAAAACAAAGTATGGGAAAACCTTTGCATGAAGGTTTATGAAGATTTTGATAATAAGGAAACAAAAGAAAAAAACCAGTGTGCTAAGTTTATTAATTACTATTTATTAAACCGAGTATACCTAACAACACCATTCACGCTTTATTGTACTGCCACAATAATTCACCTTCAGGGCTCACAAAATTGTCGGCAAATTCATTTCTAATGGAATATGCTCGAATCCCGTCATGACTTTGATCAAAGGAATGCATTCGTAACAAATTTGAAGTTATCGATAAAGTGTCATCAAATTTATAGCCATCTCGCTTGCGTACTATATTATGTAATACGACACATGCTTTCACTATGTCTGTTGCAAATTCAACTGACATGTTAATTGGCCTATGCAATATTCGCCATTTGTTAGTCCAAATTCCAAAGGAACATTCTACATATCTTCGTGCTCGTGATAATCTATAGTTAAAAACACGTTTTTTCATTGTTAATTGCTTGCCGCTGTATGGTCGCAGCAAATGTTTATGTAATCCAAAGGCTTCATCGCCAATTAATACCATAGGCAAGGGCCTACTTACAGGGGTAATTGCTTGCGGTCCAGGTAGAACTAAATCATTTCTTTCCATTGCATCATATAAACTGCAGTCCCTCCAAATAGTTGAATCGGAAGCTTTACCGTAGGCTCCTACATCAACATACACGAATATCGGCGTCACAGGCGGCCATTAAAACAATAGAAAAGAAATGTTTATAATTAAAGAATAATGAAGCACTGCGTGGTGGATGAATAATCCTGATATGTTTCCCATCTACAGCCCCTAAGCAGTTTGTAAAATTTGCTTTCTTTTTAAATTTGTTCGCAATATCAAGCCACATTGTTTTATTACATGTTGGTAAATGAATAAGCTGTAATTTATCCCAAATCAGGCGGCACACGTCGTCGACAATTTTGCTAGCAGTTAAAGTACCACATTTAAAAACATCGGCGAGATCTTCAAACGAACATCCCGTTGCCAAATATCTGTTACAAAAAAATTATATTAAAAACAAATAATAATGAAATGGAATTATACAGGGGGTTACAAAAGGTTGAAATAAATAACACTGGGGTCATTGTACTGTACTCATGAATATGAACAACTTTTACTATGGGGTCAAATACAAATCGTAACAAACAACAACATACGAAATCGTAAAAAATCAACGGTTTCATACATTTAGGTCATGTAGGTATATGTGTCCCCATAGTAAAAGTAGCTCGTGTTGAAGAGTACAACGACCCCTTAAAGTATAAGGTATTAAAACCTTTTTTAACACCATTCAATAGGCTGATGACATTTTGGGAAATGATCGATCTTACATTATACTGGACTAATATAATATAAATCCAGTTAATTTTAATAAGGTAAAATTTAAAAAAATTAAAATATTAAATACTACTTATTTATATATTACATAACGTGTAGTCCACGCGGGTAGAAGATAGTACATTAAATAATTATATTACGCTTTCAAAAAGCGCTTATGCCACCGGTATAAGAAAAACTAATCATTTATCAAACCATATAAAGATGCTTGGCTGTCATAAATTTAAGAATAACTTGAAACTTTTAACATGGATATTTAAATATACAGAAATTATCTTCAATACTGAGTTCATTATATGATCTGATCACTGTAATTTCGATATTGTAAAATATTATTATTATTATTTTACATGTTATTATCAAATCTAACTACCAACTTACTTTTCTACAAATTTCAATTTAACAATTAATTTTTCAGCTGCTAATTTACAAAGAAAATGGAAAAGCTTAAGAGACCCTTTAACAGAGACCTTAAAAAACAAAATTCACAGAGAAGCGGTTCAGCAGGTAGTTCAAAGAGATAATACTACTTTAGTCAATTATTATTTTTAAAGCCACTGTCTGAAAATCGAAATACAACATCGTCTCTACTAGTACAAAACAAAGACGATGACATCGAACAAATCGATAATGAAGACGATAATACTACTGAGACGAGTGACTCTGAAGTTTGGAAGAGACCAAAAAATATCCAAAGAAAAAAAGATGATGCAGAATATGGGTTAATAAAAAAATAACAAGTCATTTGAGCGATCAAGTAACTGCACATACTCGTACACAGGAACATGACAAGTCCTGTGACAGTGATATGCATTTTTTGCTATCTTTATACGATAGATTTAAGACCATTCGCGATGATTGGAAACTGAATGCTCGGATAGAAATATTGAATGTAATTCAAAAATATCACACACCTACAACTACACGTAATGATAATTAGAGTGAATATGGACAGGGGTATACGACACCAGCGTACCAACCGTACGAGCGACCATCAACGTCTAGGTATCGGCCGGATATGGAAACAGGCTCTGCACAGCTTCACAATTTGCGTACTGCATCCAGACCAAGAGATATTTCAGTACCAGAATCTCCACTCAGCGTCTCTTCTCAGGCTTCAAACTATAATGATCCGATTATAACGGATATTTTCGGAGATTAACTGATTAATTACCTACTCTGTTGATTTTTGAATGACTAAATAAAAATATATAAGTACGCTCTTTGTTTTCGCCTTCCTATCCTCCCTACCACAGTTGCAAATTAACTCACTGGCGATAATACAGGTCTGAGCAGACCGGATGCGTGGCGTGTGCGTAACGTACAGTCAGCGACACATCGACCTACGAAAATCTGTGAAAAAACCACAACTGATGTTGATCTCTATGCGTTTGAAATTAGGTTGAAATTCAGTTGCAGAAATTTGACAGATAAGGGTAGGTCGATATGGCGCTGACTGTACATGCATACTGTTGTAATAATAGGAAACTATATGAAACGTGCCCACAATCATAATCTTACTTTTTATTGTCAATGAATTAAGAGGCCGTACCTGGTTTTGCTCGCAACACTAGCGCCACTTTCATTAAAATAATAATATATTTTTATTTAAGGCATAGATAAAAAAATCTGTCTCAGCCACTTTTTAGCGAATTTTTTTGCTAAATTTAGAAATTGGCTGAGACATATTTTTTATTTATGCCTTAAATAAAAAGATATCATTTTTTTTAATGAAAGTGGCGCTAGTGCCGCGAGTAAATAATAATAATAATAATAATCATCTTTATTCAGGCAAATTACACCCATATCCAGTAAAATCAATAAATTTAAAATCAGTCTCCTAAATTTTAGCAATAATTAAATCAATTTTAATACAAAATAACAATTTTAAAATAATAAATCCAGTCAATGTAAATAGGCAGTAATGTCAGTATATAAATAAAATAATGAAATAAAATAACATAAAATTAAAATTAGTAAATAAATAACAGAATTACACACATTATCAGTCTGGAGACGAGATCAATAATTAAAACTTTCTCTGAGGCAACTGTGCTGCAATAAATTAAATTAAAATCAATCTACACAATTAAAGCAATACAATACATAAATCAATGTCAACAAGATAACAACTTTAAAATAATACATCCGGTCAATTTCAATAAGCATTAATGTCAGTATATAGAATAATCTAAGCAGATAAAATAAAATTAATACATAATTAACAAAAAAAAAAAAGAACTATAAGAACACACTTTTATTAGACAGGAGACGAGATTAATCAATACTTTCTCAGAGGCAGCTGGTCTGCGACATGCCTTTCGCAACAATGCCGGATAATATAACCGTCTAACCTTCCTGAGATCATCGCTAAGACAGTGTTGGAGCTGGCCCGCACTCTGCGCACCAGGGACGCGGCCCGCTTGCGCATGGTGGCATTGAAGCAATCGATGCGCGCATCCGCAAACATACCAGAGGCGCTACAAAACCGAGGCAACCCCATCACCGCCCTAAACGCATTATTGTATTGGACGCGGAGGACGCTGTAACTCTTCCTACTGTAATTAGCCCATAAGCTGCACGAGTAGAGCGATGTGCAGAACGCTCGGAAGAGTGTAACCTTGACCTCCTTTGAACACCGCGCAAACCTACGGGCGATCATGTTAGCTCTGACAGACAGCGCCCTCCGTTCCCGGTCCATATCAGCGTGATCCCTTAGGTCGAATGTGAGTAAATGCCCCAGATACTGAAACTGTTTAACCCTTTCCAGGGGTACACCATTCAATTTTATTTTAGGTACATTATCAGGACATTTCGCACCAGCGGCCTCAAAGATCATGTATTGACTCTTTCTGACATTATACAATAATCCGTGACCACATGCATATTCCTCGCATTTCCGTATCAGCTTCCTCAGGCCGCAGACCGATGCACTCAGCAGCACCATGTCGTCTGCATAACTCAGATTATTGACACAAACACCGTCAATGTGGCAGCCGACATGCTGACTGCTAAGCGCTACGATCAGCCCGTTGATATATAGATTGAATAGGGTTGGTGATGTTAAGCCACCTTGCCTGACTCCACACTCAAGCCGATACGGATCCGACATTACCCCCGCCCACCTGACACTATTGGCCTGGTTTGCGTACCAGTACCGGAACATGCTGATAAGTTCTTGAGGCAAGCCTATGCTTTGCAGCTTGTCCCACAGCAGGTTATATGTCACCAGGTCAAAGGCCTTGGAAAGGTCGAGGAAGCACGCGTACACAGGCGTCCTGCGATCAGTGTAGTATTTGACGGTTTGCTTTAGACACAATATGGCGCTTTCAGTGGACAAGCGAGGACGAAATCCAAACTGGTTATCGTGGAGCGTTACATGTTTATTCAACTGTGTGTTGAGCAAACCGTCAAACACCTTTGCAATTACGGTGGCAAGAGAAATGGGCCGATAGTTACACTTGTCAGTCAAGTCACCCGTCTTGTTCTTCACTATGGGTACCACCACGGTTTTCATGAAATCTGCGGGCAGGTAGGAATGGCTCACACACAGAGAGTAGAACAAAGCCAAGACCCTAGCTAGGTGAGGTCCAGCATGTTGCAAGTGCTCAACACTAAGTCCGTCATGTCCCGGGGACTTGCCTCCTGACATATCTCCTATAGCTTTTGTTACGTTTTTTGCCAGGTAACTAGTCCCCACTGTTTGTGTGTCCAGGTCAGTGCTGAACACTTCCACTACCGGATCCAACAGGGACTTTACAGAAAACTGGCTCTTGAAAAGATTTGCGATGTCCTTGGGATTGTTCATGCCATCGACGCACACAGGAAGGCCAGGTCGTACATTTATTTTACTGGTGGACTTCCAGAAGCCGCGAAAATCTCCTTTGCCATGTTTCACAGCAAGTGCGTCCATCTTTATTTGGTCTTGATGATTTTGGCACCATTTTAATCGGGACTTGAACACTCTTCTGCTATCACACATTTCTTTGTAAAGAAAACCTGACCTGGGTCTACCACACAATACCCAGTCATTGAATTTAGATCTGGCCTCCCTGTGAGCCTCACTGACGTGTCTGTTCCACCCAGCTATGCGCGGGCCACCCCCAACCCTCCTCGCGCCTCCCCGACTCGCCAAAGTCGCCGCGCCTTGGAGAGCGGCAACAATGTCAGAGTAAAGCTTATCCAGAACATGCCTGTGGCCACGGTCACTACAAAATCGGTCAGCACAGTTCGCACACTCAGAAGGAAAGTCTATTAAT